CTTAAATTTGCACCCACTCATTTGAAACAATATCCTTGAGGTTCATCAGGCTGAGCAAGTTTCCTATAACCCAGGCAGGCCCTGTTGGAGAAGTCCTGACAAGAATGGGCATAAGTTTAGCATTTGTTTTACCACCTTTTATTCCAGGTATAATTCAGTAAATCAAATGCTACATTAAGAAGAAAAAAATCCTGTCTAGGTAAAAATAATAAAAAGTTCACATCACTCCCATAAGAAAGATTTCCTTCCTTCCGATTGCTTTGTATGACACTGGTAATTCAAAGCTTATTTAAAGAGTCCTTAGCAAGTGCTAGTCTTAATGAAATGACTGGAGTCAAAATTTAACTAGCACTTTAAAAAGCTCAATCTGGATTTAAAATAATTTTTGAAAACCAGGTTCCCAGATTAGAGCAACCACTTGATTATCTCCCCCCCCCCACCCCCAGCAATTAGAAGAACAAATGTAGCAATGGCTAGTTTGATGATAATCTTGAGTGTTCTTTAAACACTCATTTCAAAGGTGAAGTGCTGAGGAGAGTATCCAAATGAATGATCATTAAATGTAGAAATTCTTGGGGAAAAAAGGTATCAGAAATAGATAATAAAATCAGTGGTGCTTTTCTTTCCCCAGAGCTATGAAGAAGCTTCTAGAAGTAATGTAGGGGAACAGGCAAGCTCTAATCTGCAAAAATTTCACCACCTCCTAACTGTTCAACAAGGTATTAGTTGTAGCTGATCTGTGTCCTTGGTCATGAATGTTCCTCCTCCGCAATGTTATTTTACCCAGCAAATGGCTCCACCACTGACCTCAGCACACACACACCCTGGAAATTGGGGGGATGATCCTCAATTACTTCCTTTCCTCTATTCCCCACTTCTGTCAGCTTCAAAGTCCTGTGGATCTACCTCCTAAAAAAGGTCCTTGAACCTGTCAACTTGTTTCCTATCTACAAGTACAAGCGATAATCATCTTTTAACTGAGCCAGGCAGTAGCCTCCTAACTGGTCTTTCTGCTTTTTCCTCTCCCTTCTTCAAATTATTCTTCCACAGTAACCGGAGCAATCTTTAAAAAAATTATAACAATAAAAACATAATAAATCGAAACAAAAATAAACAGACAACTATAAATCAGAGACATTCTGCAGGGGAGGGGGAAGGAGAGGGATCAAAAGGAGAGAGGGAAGAGCACAAGGGACTACGGTGATGATGCACAGGTGAACTGGTGGTGGAAATTCTATGGGGACTACACCTGAGAAAATAAAGCAAACATTGTAAAAAAATGAAAAAAGATGTAATATATACATAAATTTTAAAAAGTGATGATATGCACAGAATAAAAAAAAGGAACAAAACCTAATGCCTCATTAAAATTTTTCAACTGCTTCTACTTATGCTATTGCAGAGTGACAATACCTGTCGAGTGTTCCAGGTACTCCCCTAACTTCCCCATTAACTGGAAGACAGGAGGGGGTCTGTGACAAGGTCAGACCAAAGAGCTGAGAGGGGAAGTGACAAATGTTACTTCTGAGCAGAGACCTTTGCTTACTCTTCCTTACCCTTCCTCTGCCATGTAAACTAGCAAGTCCTTGGGTTCCAGATGGCCCAGCTTCAGTCTTGGCTCCTGAGTGACTGCCTGAGGGCAGCCACTCACCATTCTGTGCTGAATGTGGCCTTGAGACTGTTGATCTATTTCCAAGAGCATAACCTGGCTCATCCTGACTAATACAAGATGGTTTACAAAGCTGACTATGATCTGTCTCCCATTTAGCTCCCTGGCTTCATTTTGTGTCAACCCTTATGCTCTAAGTTCGAACTCTAGTATTTGTTTGGCCCTTTGGACATAATACACTTGCTCATCCTCTAGGACTTTGGCACACATTACCTCCATTCTCTAAAACATCCTTCCTTCCATGCTTATTTACATAATTCTTAATCATCTGTCAGATCTTGGTTTGAGAGGCATTTGCCAATCCCCTACCTAGATAAATCGCACATTGTATCCTTCCTCCTCCCAATAGTTCTCTTTACTCTTTGCATCACTTATCACACTTCCACTTGATTAATGTCTGACTTTACAATTCATAAATTGTGTCTGTCTCATACCTTTAGACTTAAGCACAGGAGATGACATAGCAGGTGCTATGAAAAATTAGTTGAATGACTATGTATAGAGCATCACACCAAATAATTTGTTCTCTAATTTTTTTCCTACTTAGTCCATCCACAACCACTTCCCAAATATTTTTTCAGTCATTTACTGATTAAGCTAATATTTACAGAGTACCTTGTTCATGTTAGACTAGCTTGTGAAGTACCAGCAACACGCCCTTCAGATTTTCAGAGAAGAAAACGACAATGGGGAGTTGAATGAGTTGCTGAAAATTTATGGAGAAAGTGAATTTCTGGCTGAGCCTTATAAAATGAGCACAATCTGAATAGGTAGGAAGATTGGATGTGTATAAAAGAAGGGGCGTCTGGAATAAGAAGAAAGCACTAGGAATGAGACTCATTAATTAGAGACAGTAAGATCAGCCTCTCTGGGCTCTTCCTCTGGGCCTCTATTTCATTTTTCATCCCTTCAAATGGCTGAGTAGAGGTGGGCAGAGAGAACCTTGAAAGCTGCACAGTGTTCTGGACACACCATTCATTTCAGAGCCTGCTTTGGCTCATCTTAGTGGAAGCACTGGTCGCTTCTCTCCCCTTAAACCTCTATTCTGTTTTCATGTCACTCTTCTAGAGGGCGGGGAGCATGCTTTTACTTTTTTCATAGTTCCCTATTGCTCACTTTTAATGCTTTATGCCTGGTAAGCACCCAATAAAATCAGTTAATCAGGGAAACCTCTCCTTAAGTTTGAAATGATTTGCTTCAAGCTAGGATCGGACTGAAGATGAGTTTAGGGATTCTAGGTGATGTTATTATTCTGGAGAAGTAAGTAATAGCTTGGCATGGGTTCTTTCTTTTTTAAAATTAACACAAAAGAAACAGAGGTGATATACGCTCATTTCAGAAGATTTGTAATACGCAAGTCAGCAGAAGAAAATAAAGATTCTCTAGAGTCTCACCATGTAGTGATATCACTATTAATGTCCTTCTAGTCTTTTATCCATTTACACACACACACACACACACACACACACACACACACAAATTCATAAAGTTAGTTTCATATAATTCCATTTGTTTTCTATTGTTGTAAAAACATAATATAAAATTTACCATAATAACCGTTTTTAAATATATAGCTCAGTAGTGCTAAGTATATTCATATGGCCATGACAGATATCTCCAGAATTTTTTCAACTTCTAAATCTGAAACTTTGCAACCATTAAACTTTATTTTAGTTAATAGTAAGTCATAAACATCCTTTCTTCATACCAAATCCTCTATGATATTAAACATTCTTCTTTACTATTACTATTTTTTTAAGATTTATTTATTTATTTATTTATTCATTCATTCATTCATTTATTTATTTATTTAATAGAGGCATGTTATTTATTTATTTATTTATTTGTTTGTTTGTTTGTTTGTTTGTTTTTGTTTATACAAGCACTGGGTACAGTCAGAAGCGCGGGAGGGTGAGAGAATTCACCAGAGCCAGAGCAGGGAGCAGAGCAGGCAGAAGGACCAAAGTACACTGCTGAGGGGAGCAGCGGGCAGCAGGAGAGGTCTGCGCGCCATGTGGGACCCTCCTCCGGTGGCCGGGGAGCAGCCGGGGATCTAACCGGCGCCGCAGAGGCCGCGGGCAGCTTCGCAAAACAGCGCTCAACCGCTGCGCCACCGGGGAGGCCCAAGATTTATTTATTTTTATGCAAGAACTGGGGTACAGGCCAGAAGCGCAGGAGGGTGAGAGGATTCACCCAGAGACAGAGTGGGGAACAGAACAGGCAGACTGACAAAATACACTGCTTAGGGGAGCAGTGGGTGAGACAGGAGAGGTCTGCTGCGCCATGTGGGATTCTCTCTGGCCGGCTGGGATTGAACCTGCGCTGCAGAGGCTGCGGACAGCTTCACAGTGCGGCGCTCAACTGCCTGCACCACCAGGGAGGCCCTATTGTTACTATTTTTAATGAGCATAGATTTTTCCATCACTTAATTTTTGTTTATTTATTTATTTGGTGATAATTTGGTGATAACATGTTTTACCTCTTTATTAAGACTCACGAATGAATGCTGAAATACAGTTAAAATGTAATGTCAAACATTGTAGAGTAGAACTATGTACCAATGAAATGTAGGTCAACATTACCATAATTAAAAATTATGTTGAATTATGTTGAATAAAATTATGTTGAATAAATAGCCATAAAAATATTGTTGCATATTTAGGTTATTTATGGTTTCTCATTATTATACACAATGCTCTGGTGAACATTTTTGTACATTTTGTATATATATCTTTGTGCACTTGTTTTAATATTTCCTGACAATAAACTTTCAGATGGGGAATTAATAACTTAATGGAGATGTGCATTTTATTTTAAAATTAAATTTTTTTATTATTTTTGCATTGAAGAACTGGGGTACAGGCCAGAGGTGTAGGGTTGAGATGATTCACCAGAGACAAAGTAGGGAGCAGAACAGTTTGATTTACTGAAATACACTGCTGAGGGGAGCAGTGGGCGAGACAGGAGAGGTCTGCTGCGCCATGTGGGTCAGCTCCCTGGCCTGGTATCGAACTCAGATGGCAGAGGCGATAGTGCTGAGACTTAACCCCTAGGCCACCAGGGAGACCCATGAGATGTGCATTTTTAATGTCCTTGATATGGATTTGAGTTTTGATATGGGAGATTGCACTAATTGACATACCCATCAGTAGACTAAAAAGGCCCATTTTCCCACATTTTGCCAGAACAGCGAATTATCCCGTGGTATTTTCTCTTTAGAGACTTTAACTCGTTCTATAATTTACTTCATATAATAAAAGATTTGCTCTCTGGCATCACTGGCACATCTCTGAATAATCTCAAAAGGGATGTAGACTTGATACTCACATACCTCTACAAACAAGATTGGGAAGATGCCTACTTTATCTCCCAACTTGCCCTCTGCCCAGTTTTCATCCACTCGGCTGATCACAGTGATGATGTCATCCTGAAAGAGAGAAAGTCTCCAATCATCACTCACTCCCAGTTTTCAGGTGGTGTGAGCTTTCAGTGCAGATCAAGCTGAGTCCCAGATGGTATAAGGTGACAGGAGTACAACCCTTATGCAACTTATTTACAAAATCTTCCTATTAAATGAAATGTTCTTCCTGCATAAAGGGCAGTGTTTGGGTCTCCAATACCATAAGAGGTGAAGAAATAAATTGGAGTATCAATGGAATCTAATAGAATTCTGAATTTTCCATCACCAACAAAATGTAGGATATTTATTTAATTTAATCTGATGGCAATATCAAGATGGAAGCCATAAGATGGTGGATGTTTAGCTCAGCAAAATGAAGAATGAATTTCATCTAATTTTGAATGCTTTTTTCAGCCTATTCAATTTTTAATGTATCAAGCTTTAGCAAAGTGACTTTTTATTTCAATTTTTGTTATTATAAAAGGTGACATATAGATTTGTAGACACATTTGAAAATATAGCTAAACAAAAAAAAGAAAAAATTCTACCACAGTATAGATGCAAGCACTGTTAGCACCTTGGTTAACACCCCCCCGCCCCCATCACTTTCTATGAAGATAAAACATACACATATGAATACACTAATTTAAAGGAACTTTTCCAAAAACACACATACATTCCAACAGTAAAGTACATACATTTTAGATGTCAAGATTGATGAATTTTAACGAGTCCACACAGCCCCCAACCAGGTCAAGAGTTACAGACCATTTCTAGCACCTAGAAGTTTCCTTTATGCTCTTTCTTATCATCTCTCAAGAAGTAACCACTGTCCTGACTCCCAGCACTATCCATCTATTGAACCTATTATTGTAGTTCATACAAACATAGTCATACTTTGATTTCTGAATGAATATACCTTATCAGGAACACCTTTTCACATCACACTTGTTCACCAATCGAAACCTGAATATTCACCCACTGACCTCTCTGACCTTCTAATCCATACTTCTCAGTAATTTAGATGAATGAAAATCTAAGTTCATTACTGCATTATACCTTTTCTTGGCTTTCTCTATCCTTAATACGATTTCTGTAACATCTGTCTACCCCATCAGATTATAAGCTCCAGGTGTGCAAAACCTGTCACTGTTGTATTCACTCTGTGTCCCCACCACCTTATACAGTGGCTCTCTCCTAGTAGTTATACAATAAATACTCTTGATGCATGCATGAAAAAATGAATGTGTATAAACCATTCAATTTACTGAGATAGAAAACACTAAGAAGGAGTAGCCTTGGGAGGGAAGATCTTGTGTTTAATTTGGACATGTTGAGTTTAGGAAGACCATGAAATTTCCTAGTGTGCTCTCAGCTTTGCACATGTCTCCAAATTCATCAGGTTCTGTTTGTAATTTTCCATCTATGTGTCTGTCCCTTCCACTAGATTGGCGGCTCTGTGAAGGTAGGGGCAGTGACTCATCACTTTATCCCTGGCAGCCAGTTTGGCACATGGATGGGCTAAACGAAAGAGGAGGAAGTGTCCTAGTTTGCAAATTCCTAGAGAAGGGCCAAAAATTAGATAGTGCTTCCTGCCTATATCTTCTTCCTCGGAGTACCCCACTGTATCCTCAGAGCTCAGTATCTGGCACAAGAGAAATACTCAATACATGGTTGTGCAAGTGAACTGCCTTTCCTTTATTTTTATTTTTTAAAAAGATTTATTTATTTATGCATTCAAGAACTGGGGTACAGGCCAGAGGTGCAGGGGGGTGAGGGGATTCACCAGAGACAGAGCGGGGAATAGAACAGGCAGATTGACTGAGATATACTGCTGAGGGGAGCAGTGGGCAAGACAGGAGAGGTCTGCTGCGCCATGTGGGTAGCTCCCTGGCTGGCCAGGATCGAACTCATCTGCAAAGGCTGTGGATAGCTTCATAGTGCTGTGCTCAACCTTTTGCACCACCAGGAAGGCCCTGCCTTTCCTTTAGATGAAGTGAGAGCATAAACTGCAGTTCAGACTACAGAATCATCTTCCTTAGGAGACTCTGACATACTGGGGCAACAATGAAGATTGTTACTTCAAAATATGGAGGACAGTGAGGTTATCTAGTTTGAGAGAATCCGAGTCAATCACATTTCTGGTAGTGCTGGAATAAAAAATGTTTTACAAAACAAAGACCTTTCCTGAGCTATTTGTAGCAGTGCCTTCTTGTACTTAATTTGGTCTACTTATCATAAGTAGCAAAGAATAAAAATCACCTCAAATTTGGTCTCTAGGAGAGAATTTGAATGTTTATGAAATAATAAATTCAGAATACAGAGTTAAAGTAGCCTAGACTTTAGTGGAAGTGTTATTTGCAAATGGTGACGCATTGAAAAGAGGCAAAAGAAATCTTAGGGTAATTAATGTGCTTGTAAAATATATCTTGTAAGAAGTTATTCATGCATAAAGGTATAATTATGTTATCATGTGGGTTTGGAATATTTTGAATACAATATTTACAACAAATTTGAATGTAGTAAATTAGGAGAATTAGGTGATCATAACTTGGTGAGCAAAAATACCCTACACTCACGTGATCGAGAGGTAGGAACTGGTTTTTCACCACATGCTCTCCCACTGTATGTTTTTGTCCATACATCTGTTTTTCCCACTATGCTGCCTAATGGCAGGGGGCATGACTTGTCCATGCTACCCCTCTAGTATCTGCGAAGAACTTACTCAAAGCTGTAGCATGAGGAAACATATGTGTGAATATCTCTTTTTATAAATGCAATAGAAAGGTTTAAGGAGTTCTATCAAGCTTGTATATTTCTCTGGTGACTTCATGTCCATGTAGCCAGAATTAAACACACACATTACATATGTATGCATACATATGTACATACATGTATGGTGTGTCCTCACTTAACACTGTTGATAGTTTCTTGGAAACTGACTGTAAACAAAGCCACAAAAAATGAAAGCAGATCCTGGAATAACATAATGTTGTTCACCTTTGGCCAGGATTTTTTTTTTGTTAGCAACATTGTAATGAAGTGACTTTGAATGAAATGACATTGCATGAAAAGCTGGTACTCGAGGAACTGCTGTATACATTTACGTATAAAGTAAATCATCATCATAATCATCATCATCATCATCATCATCATCATCATCATCTTAAAAAAAATCAGGAAATAGTGAGCAAACAACTGCAGGCTCTGCCAAGTCTCTCTGGGTTGCCCAGAGTCTCACCTTGAGGAAGGTCAGGCAGTCCTGGTTTTCACTCTTGTCCTTGTCTCGAAGGTCGAAGTTGTAGAGGGCTCGGCAGAGTGGGGGCGGCTGGGGGAGCTGCTTGATGACTTCCACGGAGCTGGCGGGGAAGATGCCACTGACTCCATTCACCTCCCCCTGGTACCAGTTCTCATCAAGCTGTCTCCTGAGGAGGATGACATCTCCCTTATTAAACTTGAGGTCACCAGGATTTTGCCCTCGGTAGTTGCATAAGGCCTTTGCTCGAGGCACCTGCAGTGACACAGACCAACAAAACACATACTTAGCTGAGAGGCTGGAGGGACAGAAGGAATCACATTAAAGACTAATTACAAAGCCCTTTCTATATGCTAAGTGCTATACATGGACCATTTTGTTTACCCTTCAAGACAGATGCTCATTATCCCCATTTCTAATACAGGGTGACTGAAGCACAGAGTGTTTTAGTAATGTGCTAAGGTGACATGGCTGAGAAATAGAAGATATAGGATCTGAACTTAGGCTACCTGCTTCTAGAGCCCCTTTCTTCGTCATTGTACTGGGAAGAGGGTTTTGTACTTGACTCCACAACTATAAGAACTTGGTTGAGTCATTGGCTCTTTCTGGGGTCTGAATACTGATTTTGAATTCTGGCTACACCTCCTCCCTTTTGTGTGACCATAGGTAAGTTTATTTAGTCTTTCTTAAACCATATTCACTTACTATATGGAGTAATAATAGAATGCCTACCTCATTAAGGTCATTGCATGGAATAAATAAAATTCACCATGAATTTAGCATATTGCACGGTACACAGTGTATGCTTGATAAACAATACATTAAATGATCCATAGTGGAGGCTAATGATGTCAGTTCTACTTACTCCTTAGTGCTGATGGAAAGAAAATGGAGGTGGGACTCCCTGAAAATAGAAAGTGCTCTAAGAGAATGATGCAAGAAAGTTTGTTCTCAGCCTTCTCCTGAAAATGTAAATCTCCAATTATTTGTATCTCTAGGGGGCGCAATTGAGACAAAGAAACACTTAACCAGACATCCACTGTCAATTAATAAATATCAGCTAAATAATCGTCATTTGTCAGATCAGTCAAATGAATTTTTCCCGCTAATTGAAACTGGCTTATCCACACCAGGCCTCCTTCTGGTTTTGCTTGAAGTCAACTTGGCCAACTGAAAGTTCTAGAAACTTGCTTTTAATAGCAAGTCCTTCAGTGTCATCTGGGACTGTTTTATTTTGTGCTTTTGTCAGCAATGGGATGAAGCCATCCCCTCGCCTGGGGGTAACTTTGCTGTTCATAGGGGGATGTAATGAGGCATTAATTTAGTTCTTGAAGAAACTTCTCAGTCTGCAATGTTTGCTTGAAAGAGAATTTCAAGCAGTTTAGGGGTAGAGATAAGACCCAAATAGCATCTTGCTGAAGGGATAGTAGGGAAGTGCTTTTCTGCTAGATCCAGAAAGGTGAGCCCAAGGAGCGAAAAAACCACAAGGAAACAATTTATCCTCAGGAAACTGGTGGACAAGTGAGTAAAGATGTGTGTAATAGGAGACTTAGCACAATGCTGTGGATATAAACAGAACTGGCTGAATAAATTATGACATACCCAACACAATGGACAACTCTGCAGTCATTACAATTGCTGATGTTGATCTATAATTAATAACACTGGGAGTTCCTCATAATATAGTTAAATATAACAGGAGAGGTTAGAAACAGCTAGATCAGTCTTTCATTAGAGATATGTACCTATATTTTTACCAGGGAGAAATGCTAGATGTCTATATACCAACATTAAGAGTAGTTATTTCTAAGTGGTGAGATTTTTGAATATTGAGAAAATTGTACCACTAAGTGCTTAGCAGGTTTTTTAAATGATTTTTCTACAATGAAATAATTTTATTGCTCATTAAAATCAGATAGTAAAAAGAAAATGAATGAAGCTGAGGTACAAGAAGTGAAAGGTATGGTAGGAATTTAGGAAAAATGTAAGTTGAGTTCAGGTTCTGCTGCCTGCCTGCGACTATGCAGGTGCCTCTCTTTATCTTTCTCCGTTTCCTAATAAACTTGTCCTTTTAAAATCCCCAAAGGGAAGTGGCGAGTACCTAAGGGCGGTGTTAAGCAGCCATTTCTCTGTTTGTAAATACAAACCAGCCATGTTAGTGGGGTCGGCACACTTGACTCGTGCTCTTGGCCAGGCAGGTTTGGTCTCGGTGGGTCATTTGGGATTCCAGGTTGGCGGAATGGGTAGGACGCATTTAAGAATTTATCTCCCACTTTTCTCCCTGAGTTGTACATTTCCTCATCCCCCTTCCCTTGTAAATAAACCTTTTGTTAACCTTTAAAAAATAAAAAAGTCAAGTTGAGTAGGATCAGCCAACCATGCAACTACCTTTTGGAGATGATGTTCCTTCCTGAGATACATGCAGGTGGAAGCAAGATGAGAACAGATTTCTGGGGAATGATCTGAACCTGCTAGACTCCTAGGCTGGAATATGCTAGGGAACAATAGTTGCTCCTCCATTTCCTTTCTCCACAGTTTTCTTTTGTAATATAAATCACATTTTTCTGGGTACAGGACCACCTGATCACATTTTTGAACCTTCTTAGCAGCTAAGTTCTGGCCAATGGGATAAGCAAATGGTTAATGGTCAAAGGACACTTTTAGGAATGTCCTTACTGAGACTGGCTTTCTTCCTCCGCCCCCCTCTTCAATTTTGCTGTGTGGAACACAGAGAGCAACTGCTGGAGCTTTAGCTGCTTTCTCGAGCAATGAAGATGAGGGTTATACCTAAATAAAGAAGGAGATAGTTTGGGTTGCAGAGCTGCCAGACTAGTCCTGGGCTACTTAACTTCTAGTTTTGTCTAACAGCTAAATAAAAACTCATCTTGCTTAGTGCATCATTATTTTGGGTTTGTAAAGAGAAAGCAAAAGGAAAGGAAAGGAAGACTGCCTAATGATGATGTTGAGAACGTCTTCCCATGTGCTAGCCACTGTACTAAGCACTCTGTTATGTATTTTATTTAGTCCTCACAACAACCTGTGACTAGAAAAGTGGGGATCAGAGCTGCCCAAGTTCATGAAGTTAAAAAGGAGATTTAGGGTTTGAGTTCAGGTTTATCTATCCCTAAGCCCAAACCCTTAACCATTAAGTCAGTGTGTAGGGTAGATGAAGATTGCTCAGACTTTTTTTTTTTTAAAGATTTATTTATTTATTTTTACAAGCACTGGGTACAGTCAGAAGTGCGGGAGGGTGAGAAAATTCACCAGAGCCAGAGTGGGGAGCAGAACAGACAGAAGGACCAAAGTACACTGCTGAGGGGAGCAGCGGGTGGCAGGAGAGGTCTGCGCGCCATGCGGGACCCTCTCCGGTGGCCGGGGAGCAGCCAGGGATTGAACCGGCGCTGCAGAGGCTGCGGGCAGCTTCGCAACCCAGGGCTCAACCGCTGCACCACTGGGGAGGCCCTGCTCAGACTTTTGAGCCATTGACCACTGTGGCTATCACCTGCGGCCTTGGATGCAGAAGGCGCTTGGGAGTGTGGGCTCGGGGTACCCACGTCTGATCACAGGCACCTGGAGTATGGTGTGGGCATGCGTAAATGACCTCACCTGAGCTGAGAGAAGAGCATATAGGGGGCAGAGGGCGGTGTGGCCGGCAGAGTGGGGCAGAGGCCTGTGTGGCAGACGGTGGAGGAGCGGCTACTGGAGAGGAAGGCACGCTGAGATTATACCAGAGAGAGCCCAGAGAGAGGAGATTCGCTGGGGACTAGGAGGTCTGCCAGCCTGCTGGCCCCTCCACCCCCTTGCCTGCCCAGCACCTGGTTGCCTCACTATAAATGGTGTAGAAAGATCATTAAGAGTCTGAAATAGCCACTGAGGGCTCCGTGACTCTCCTTTACCAATCTCCATAGAGAACCTGCTCTGTGCCTTGCTGGCTCTGCAGTGTTTCTCAAAATGAAGTCTGCAGTTGTCGGGTAAGGTAAAAAATGGCAGGCTTTTCTGCCCTCCCGCCATCAGGACAGATGATGGTCCTGTGGTCCTGAATGCATGCCTGATGGCGGCACCTGGAGTAGGGCGTGGGCATAGGTAGATGGGATTTACCTGGGCTGAGACTGGGCTTTTAGGGGCGGTGCCACGGGGACGACAGCAGAAGCCTAAAGAGAAGCAGGAGAGCAGAGAGAAGGCCGGAGAGCCCGGATAGAGTGAAGACTTGCTGAGGGCTGGGAGGCCTGCCAGCCTCCCGGCCCCCCAGCACCGCTGCCTTCTCTGTACCCAGTAAATACCAATAAAAGCCTGAAAAGCCACTGAGGGCTTCAGGACTCTCTCCTCCTTTACCCAGTCTGCTGGATCAGAAAATCTGCACTGTGTCCTTCCTGCCCCTACAGCAGTCCACCTGTATCAGAAACCTGGAAGATGTCAAAATGCAGATTCCTGGGCCCCATCTGTAGAGGCCAGGACTGGACACAGTGCAGGTTTTCTAGGATCCAGCAGACCGGGTGAAGGAGGAGTCAGAGTCCTCAGTGGTTTTGCAGGTTTTCATTGGGATTACCAGGTACACGGCAGGCAAGAGGGCTGGGGGGCCGGGAGGTGGAGCCCCCAGCAGGTCTTCACTCTGGGCTCTCCGGCCTTCTCTCGGCTTCTGCTTCTCTTGCTTCTCTCTCGGCTTCTCTTTCGGCTTCTGCTGGCGTCCCCGTGACGCCGCCCTTAAAAGCCCAGGTGAATCCCATCTACCTATGCCCACACCCTACTCCAGGTGCCCGCCATCAGGCATGCATTCAGGACCGCAAGGATCCTTCATCTATCCTGATGGCGGGAGGGCAGAAAAGCCTGACACTTTTCCTTACCCCACACCATCCCTGACTGATTTGACCATAATCTCTTAGAGTGAGATTTAAGTAGCTACATTTTTATCAAACACTCCCCTGGTCTGAGCTGAATTTTATTCTAGCAAAAATGGAGTTTTGATATGTTTTACACAATGGCTAAGTTACTTTTCTCCCTTTCCTTTCTGGAAGACATTTCGAGTGCAAGTGGCTTATGTATTTTAGTGACCACTGAGCAAGTGGATTAAACGAAAGTTGCACAAAATACTTAAACCTCTTCGAAGATGCAGAAACTTTGAAACCCAAGACAGTACTGACCAGCTTCACTGTTTTAGCATCTCCCCTCAGTCTAGGTAAGTGTTGTGGAAGTGTGTTGAATGTTCTATTTGTCATTATTTATTTTTTAATTTTATATTTTAAATGTTTTATTTTGTT